GCTCAAATAACCTTTCCTCATATGACATTCCTCTAAGACCAGGAATCATTCTTGTGGCCCTACGCTGCACCTTTTCTAAGGCTGCAATGTCCTTTTTAAGATACTGTATGGTGACCAAACCTGCACACAATATTCTAGGTGAGGCCTCACCAAGGAATTGTATAATCTTAGCATTACCTCCCTTGACTTAAACTCCACACACCTGGAGATATACCCCAACATCCTATTGGCCTTTTTTATTGCTTCCCCGCACTGGCGAGAATGAGACATGGAAGCATCAACATACACACCAAGGTCTTTCTCATAGTTTTCATCTAGTTTTCAGTTTCTAGCAGTGTAATCTAATAAACAGGGAAGTAGTAGTATTATATACTTTGATTAGTCTGGTTTTGAGTATGACAAATTATTGTTCAATTTAGACTATACACTAAATGACAAAAAAAATATTATTTCCAACATTTATCTCACATTTTTTTACCTTCCTTTTGAGTACTTAGTAATTACTATGCAGATCAGACTATTTTGCCTGACAACATACCAAAAAAACAACACACCAGAACACCAAAAATTAAGTAATAAGGTTTTATTTAAGAAGTAGTTTTCAGGAATACTTATATGGCAGAACAGCAGCCCAGAGAAAACATTGCTATCAGTCTACGCAAGAAGGTCTTCCTGTGGGGCTGCCTTTGACCGGACTCTTGAATACCTTCTCCATCTGACGGTGATTCATTGACTTTCTTGAATGCCTGTAGTAAACAGAGCCGACAAAATGTGTCACACCTGAGTTAGCTGAACCACAATAACTCCAATTTACCCTGAAAGTAATAAAATAACTCCTTAAAATTAAACCCAGTAGCTTGATACTCACATTTGAGATCCTGGAGAGGAAACGCCTCATGACCCTCCCACGCTCCTCAGCCACTGCTTGAGCAGGGTCTCCCTCAAGATTTGCCTCGGGTCTCACACCTGAAACTCAAAATGCAAGGTGAGTACAGACCTCTGTTACACTTTTCCTTACCTTCTTCTTGAGCTTGGGCCATGGTCACATGCTAGTCACTCTATGGAAAGGTGTGTGATCTGAAGGTGATGCAGCAGGCCTACCTGTCTCAGCTTCTGTGGCTGGGCTGCAGGAATCGCAAGCAGGAGGACTGCCTGCTTCTTTGCACTCGTGCAAAGTCCGGTCCAAGGAGAGAAAATTTTTGGCAATGCTTGTAAGGAAGGCCTGCACAGCAAACTTAGGCTCAGCCGCCGGGTTGATAAGGGCATCTGGTGCAGGGTACTTGATGAAGCACCTTTTTTTGCCTCTATAAATGCTTAACTCGACGCTGCCGGTAACGCCCTCGTGCTCATAGAACAACTCGACCCGGTAAATCACTTTCTTCATTTTGTATATTGTGTTGTTAATGGAACAGAAGCAAGAGCGCATGCAGTTAGTGTTGCTCTGCGAAGATCACCAGACAAGGATGTGACACGAAGTATAGATTCTAGAACTAAAGGTACTGCTTACATAATCCAACTAACCAATAAAGTTTTAGACAATTTTTTTTTTTCAAATTTTAAATCTGACAACACCGAGGTCGATCAAGGCCCCCCTGCTGCGCGCGCACGCACGCGCGCACGTACACGTATATGTGGCGGCGCTGAAACGAGTTTTGAAGTGTGGGTGCAAGAACACAAACTTAAGAGAATTCGACTGTCCCTCACAAAAACTGTAAAGTTTTAGTGGCTAAATTGCGCTTTCTACGACTTTTCAGACAGGAGTAGATTTGTTTGGCTATGCCTAGAAAACAACGTTGTTACCAGTGTGGAGACCGTCAGAGTTTTACCGAGGACAAAAATTCCACCTCCAGCTGCCTGCCCATCTCATCCATTTATGTCACAAAAATTACAGTTTATTGTCTAAGTGAATAGGGTATAGGTTAATTAATTAGGGTGCACGCACCGTCTTTCTCATTCTCATAATGCGTCCATGCCTCCGGGTATAGCCCATTCAAATGTCATGTAGCCTTTTTAGACAGCACAGAATCATTAACCTACTTTAACGCATTTATTTATACAACCACATATTTCCCACATTTTGACATCAGTGATGCAGTAAAGATAGTCTCTTTATTTCTTGACGCCAACCCTCCCCATTAATCCGGGCTTTGGGACGGGCACCTGGTTGAGCTGGCTTGCTCCATTAAGTGGCTGGGTTAGGCTAAACTATATACATATTTACAAAGACTACAATAAAACATCCCGAAATATGTAGTCTAACAAAACGCAGTTTAAAGAAGGTAGCCTACCTGGCGAAATTGCAAACAAAGAAATTAAAAGGCCCATGGCATATAATCGGGCTATATCCAACAAAAAGCAGTTTTTAAGAACGTAGCCTACATGGCTAAATTGAATTACTTTCTGGACCAACATACCCAACAGTCGTCAGACGGACGAGGACTTTAGGCAGCCTTTAGATCCTACCCATCATGCACTGCAGTTCTTTGCAAATTCCTCAAATGTTAAACCATTAAATACAAAAGGAACAGCTTAGTTTGACTTAAAAACATTACTATGTGTTGTATTTTAAGTTTGTTGCATTGTAGGGATTTTACAGGTTTGTTTTTTTTTTAATTAAAAATTATTTTTTACATCATACACCCACCATAATAAGAATGTATATCAAAAATCAAAGATATATAAAATCGCAAGTCACATTAAAATTTTTAGCAAAATATTCTAGCTGTCGAAAGTTTGGGTGAAATCCTAATAGTGTAATTTTTATATGTATTTAGTTCATGGGAGGGTCCTCTACTATCCCGGGGAGCGCAGTGGCCTCGCCTTCAGCTCCGCCCCTGACGGCAAATTGGGCGTGACTTGCGCGGCAGATCGATCAGTACGGTTACCTAGTCACTAAGGTCGGGACCTCTGCAACTCTTTCCATTCCCGGTAGTAGTTCATGTCTTGCTCCCTATAATAATCATTGGCTCACAGGAGGAGCGGCACGATCGGGACGTGACAGGATTGCTTGGATTTTTTTATTTTTTTTGCATGGAATTACTGCTGGAACAGGATTTAAAACATAAACGGGACTATACGGCCAATATAGAGACTCCAACTCACTGAATTAAATGTATTTAGGCAACTGCAAGGAACTCAAAGGAAACAAAAACTACCCACAGATAGCAGGGGGCAGTGATCCAGCCCACAGATGTGGAAGTTTGATGCTACTCTGCACCCAGTGCATTACCACAGCACTTCTGTGTTAAAATGACTTCCTATTTATCTGAATACTTTTGGATTATGCTGCATGAAATTCACTAGCGCTACAGCAGTTAATCATTATGGCCTCAGTGTCGTGACGGGCAGTTTTATATTTCACCACCTTACAGTAAAACTTACCAAGATTTTATGTTGAGTACAATCAAGTGCATGATCACAAGGGCTTTGTAAATGGGACTGTGCTTAGTGGGAGTAACACTAATCCAGATTATGATGACTCAACACAAGACGGCACTGTTGCCCAAAAAATCAGTAATGCAACTGAGAAGAAAGTAATGGGCGCTTTAGAGAGGAAGAGGCTACATGAAAATGTCAGTAGAGGGTGCTCTTTCTCTTGTATTAGACAGATTCCTTAAAGAAGGAGTAGCTGGAAAAACAAATACTATATTTCCTGTAGATACAGATACAATCACTTTTAGAGCATCTAGACGGTAAACTCTGTAAAATTTCCTGCACCAGATAGTGTGTATATTTTACTGATAACACTGATTAATGGACTTATTTTTGAGTGTGTTTAAGTTGTATTTATTAAAACATGTTAATATGTTTTTGCTTAATTCGACGTACTATTTCTCTCTGTGTTACTTTGGAAGTCGAAGCAGATAAACAACCCTGGATCCATTAGTCATGGAAAGATGGCAAAGGGCCAAAATATATGTTAAATCATATATTGTGTGAAAAGTATCTTATTCTGGAAGTGTATGTGTATTCTTGTTATATAAAAAAATAAAATACATTTTTAATATAATAAATCACGTTGTATTATTGAATTATTGAATAACCATATATTTCATAAACCCCAGGGCTGAGGGCTGGAGTCCAGCCCCAAGTGCTTTTTGACACATATATTACAAAAACAGCACTAAGCACAGGTCATAACCTGACTTCAGTGTCTTATTGGTGTACGTTTACATATTACTGAAATATGTTAAATAGTCTCTGTCAGAGATCTGCTTTTCCTGTTATTAAAATTAATGAACCATATGGAGATATTCATTATAGTGTTAAATTCCATCGATCTTCCTCAGGTGCCGGGGGGCGGGCTATTTAAAAAGGTAAGCCCCTCCCACATTAGTGGCAAGGCTGTCCTCGAACATGGCAGCGTAGCTCGCCTTCAGGAAGTCCACGTAATCCTGCAGCCGCTGCGCGTGGCTTTCCGAGCGCTCCAGGTTCAGATGCAGATCTCTCAGCCGCACCTCATGCTGAGTTTCTGCCTGAAAGGCAAAAAAAAAACAAAAACGACAAAGAGGTTGAATTAACTTAAAGGGACGTCGTCACAGAATCGGTAATGAATGGGCTGATTACAAACAGCAACGCAAAAGCATCTGAGTAATACTCACAGACACTTAAGGTACGACTGCGTTTGTATTACACACTTCACCTTGCAGAAGTACATCCCATCTGCTTCAGTAAGGTCAAGAAATCATTTCCAGTTCTACTACTACTGGCATTTAAGTGTTATGCTTAATTTACCAATCACAGAAAATCATTCCGTGATTAACTTGCCCCGTTAAGTACCCCTGAGTATCATACCGCATAAAAGTTGATTAATTGCATTATTAAAAGATACTAGTCAGTCAACAACCTTGCGTATCTCTAATGAGAGAGGTTTATACACTGTTCACAGCTGAGGGGTTGGATC